GCTCTGAGGTCTCCACACAACCTTCTCTTCTCCAGGCTGAACAGCCCCAACTTCCTCCTGAATATCACTTCTTACACAAGTTTCCCTGCATGCTTTATAACCCAGACATGGCACTTAAAATACCTACAGAGACAAAATTTCTGACATGGTCTGTAGGTGATACAGGTTACATCACCTCACCCTTTATGCTTTATTTATCACAGGTTCTGGTATTTCACTTTCCTTTCACTTGGGGTTTATAATCCACTATTTAATCAAACTAAACCCTTGGTGTTCTCAGCTCATCTGTCTCAAACTGTTGGGTCTACAGAACATCTCAGCAGAGTGAGCTTGGCCATGGCAGTAGTGGCTGATTCATTCTGAGGAGAAATCACATCTCTTCAGTGTGATCTCCCCAGTACTGGAAGCCATTCCACAAGAACATTGTAGAAAACTCCTCTATACAACCAGGTCACTGGAGAGATGCCTCACTTAACCACCACCTCTGGGAAGAAGGAGAAAAATTCCCCAATTGCCTGAAGTGCAGAGCAGTGCCCATCATTGGCTTAGTCCTGTTTGCACCACTCAGGACCTAAGAATTTGTGCCAGTCAAAAAAGGCAGCTAAAATCTGAGTGCTGACTGACTTACTTGACCAATACTGATCACTCTGCTCTGGTTTTCCTCATATTTTATAATGGCATCCTCATTTCTTCCATTCAGTGTATGTATTTCTCATTCCAAACACTTGGCTAAGCTTTCCAGTCCATATTTTAATGTTACACAACAGCATAATTAACTTTAGGGAAAAAGAGTTCACACCTACCTTTTATCTTCTGGTGAAACAAGCTTTTTCCATTGCTTTACCAGAGTTTTAGCCACATTCCCAGCAGTAGCATGCTTCCTCAAGCTGTTCACTGTTCTGCCTATGCCAGTTTTCTGTTGGAGATAGTGCAAGAAGGAAAGAATAACTCACAATTCACATCCCAAATAAAACCTTCTCTAAAACTGCTACAAAGTCTAGTAGCCAGAGCAGCTAAAGAAATTAACACACTCATTATACTGTGAACAGAACTGAAGAGTTAGTTACTTATAACCAAATATAAGGAACAAATTCAGCTTTAACTCACAAAACTAAGAGATTTTCCTCCATTAATTAAATTCATGCATTTCAGGAACTGTCTCAAATGCTTATGCCCACAAAATGCATCCATTGAAACTTGCTTTAGGCTTATGAAGGTGCATTTCAGCATGTTAGAGAACACATATGAAGGAGATGTTGCAACCTAAAATGCATCTCAACCAGATGAGCCTCCGAGGAGCAGAGTTATTTTCACAAGGTCATTGTGACCACAGGTCTCACTCTAGTGTGTTTTGTGCTGTTTAACCCAAACTGTCTTGCAGACTTTGAGTGTGTATAGAATCACAGGTGGTGCTGCATTATCAGTAAGTACCTCTGATTGCCAAACTCTCACTTTTAAGAGGCACAGAAAACCTGGAATTCACTAGGTTCACAGCAACCTGTTAATAATGCTCTTGTTAATCAGTACAACAATAGCTCTGTGAAGTCTGAGCAAGAGCTATAAACATGCTACTCCCACATTTAAGGCTTCCTTAAATTCACTTCAAGCCTACTGAGCTTCTATACAATTTCAGCCACACTGATTTGGTAGGTCAGTTACTGCAAACAGATGCAAGAAATGTGGTAGGAATATTTAATAAAGCTACATGTGTTCTTCAAATGCATCAAAAATATGTGGAGCCCTTGAGAGTAAGATATCTCTTCCCTCTGTTTGACTAGTAGGTGTCCATCAAAGTCTGTGATGGTATAAAATACACAGGTTTGGTGGGAGCATGAATTGTCTGCAGAAGCTCTTTGTCATTTTATACTAATGGCATTATGGGATTATGTTGCTTTCCAATCAAAATACATCATAGAATCACAGAATTTAGGGGTTGGAATGGACCTTACAGATCACCCAGCCCCAACCCCTGCCCTGGGCAGGGACACCTCCTCACTAGATCAGGTTGCTCAAGGCTCAGCAACCTGACAGCAAAGTGTCCTCTATATGCTCAGTACTATCACTGTTGGCATAGTGCTCATTTGCCAAGTTGTGTGCTTGGGAAAATGAAGCCAACCAAATGATTAACAATCAGAATTACAAAACACAATGTGTGCACCACTTCTAAGATTGCAGATCCCTGACACTGACATAGTAATCCAC